AGGCGACACGAGCAGGGGGCAGACTGAGGACCAGACCTGGACGCTGCAGCAAACACCTAACCTGACGCAGCTACCTGGCCCGACGCAGGGACAGGAGGAGACTCAATGGTCAGGGTGTAGAGGCTCGACCCCGGCCGACGCAAAAACGTGGCTAGGTGACGGCCCGTGCGGGCGTCCGAGCAGTGGGTCACCCGCTGACTCGCAGGAGTTAACTGGTGAACCCCCGCATCCTGCAGGTCAGCACCACTCACCAAGTTTGTCGAGAACGAGGGGAGGTAAAGACCAAACAAGGTTCCCGAGGGGGCAGCCGGACACGGGAGGACAGTGGAGAAGTGAGAGAGGACAGGACCCCCAGAGGGGTCAGCCATGGAGACTGCAACCGACCGACCAAGCGACATGAGTGTGGTGCAGTCTCGAAAGAAGGAGCGAGAAGCCCCTAAGTCAAGTGTGAAGGTGAGGGAGGCCGAAGCCGACGTGGTACCTAAGAGCGTAGCCTCACCAGTACCTGAGGGCGCAGACGCAGTGGCACCTAGAGCAGCAGCCTCACTAGCACCTAGCGCAGCAGTACCAATGCCCGGGTCGGGCGGGAAACACCGGTAACAGTCACCCTCATCACTAATAGTCACAGCATACATGGCAGCAAGGATAGCATCAAATTCAAGATCATAGATAGCTACACCTGCCCTAGACAGCTCTCCCCAGCGGGGGATCTCACTAGCCTCGGGGAACTGCTGATGTCAAGCGTCTGTCAGGCGGCCAAAGCAGCGCTGGGTGAGGTGGGCACCCCCACACTGCTCACCCGCGCGGTCGCCTGAGCGAAGGACGTAGGTGCACGGACCAAAAATGGTTGTGACTTTTCGTCCTGGCACCTGTCGGACAACATATCCCAGTGCGAATTGTCATGTTTTTTATTGTAGAAGTAGAATAAGGACACTATGAAAACTAGACAAGTGGTTTGTATAGAAATCAGCTATAGCAAAGTAAGGGAGAACTGCAAAAGTAGTGAGCGGGACAATTTGGAGCCAAGGCAAAGGAAAAGCACCGTTGCTAGCAACGGTTACCAGCATGAGAATACTTAGGCAAAGGTCAGAGTAGGAATGACTCGCTCGCTTGTTTGTTTCCACGCTGAGCACGAATTGAGCATAGCAAAATCCTAGGGCCAAGTTTACAGAGGAGCCAACCTTCGCAAGCAATAGAGGCACCATGCAAGAGGTGCTAGAGTCTGCCGAGCTAGCTCTCCTTGCACTTAGAGCAGGAACACTAGCAGCATCTTATAAGAAACAAGCAAGGAAGATCACGAAACTTAGGGATGAACGAAAGATTCGGACTAAGATCCGGTCTACGCTACTGAAGAGAAGATATACAAGCAGCGCCAAGCTGGCACACGGAAGCGAGAACCACGACCACCAGAGAGCCGGATGTAGCAACTCAAACTTCTAGCCGACCGTCGTCAGAGACCTACAAGACCCCGCATCATAGCGCGCGAGAGAAAGAGACAAAGATGGATCGCTCACGCCTGATCGCCTCAGATCCAGGAGAGACCCCACATAGTCTAAGATGGGCGAAAGAAGCGAGAGTGCGATGGGACAAACAGCAAAGAGAAATCTCGCCAAAGCAGATGCCGGGAATGGAACAGTATGGGCAAGCGGACAAAGAGGAATGCCTGCGCCGGCACAATGGGGGGAGATCTACAGACGCCTCCGCGTAGAGACATGGTGGAAAGCAGGACGGGTGTGCAGCCAGCAGCCACGTCGAAGCAAGAACATCCAAGAGAGAGATGGGCTAATCCATCCTTGCCGAAGCTAGAAATGGCGGAGCGCTTCACAGGAATCCCTGAAATAGGACCGACGCTGAAAATCTATCTCATGTAACTCGAGACCATGCAGTACTGCTGGGAGAGAGACGGGCTGGACCAAGCGGAGTTCTTTCACAGAATGGTAGTGACCCTTACAGAAGAGGCTGAAACCTTCTACCGGATGACGTGAAAGGAAGTACTAGAGGAGTTCGAATGTGGAGAGATAGAGAATCCGACGACACGCTTCGTGCAACTGCTGAAAAAAGAGTTTCTTGGACAGACAAAGGTGAGGGTGGAAGAATTTAGAGAATTCCGCCACAAGAAAGACGAATCGCTACTGGCGTATTATTGCTGGCTAACGGAACTTGCGGAAGACCTCGAGAATAAGGATGAGCGACTTCTGGTCCGCGAATTCGTACGGGGGCTATATGAAGAGCTGCGCAACGTGGTGCGGAACACAGTATATGGAGTGGGAGCGGATATAACGACTAAGGAGGTGTACGGACTGGCTAAGAGGACAGAAAACGCACAACGAATGCTGGATCTAGAAGATGGAGAGAGCTGCGGCAAGACGAAGACGTCATGGGCAGCTGTGGCAATGGTGGAAGCTGAACACAGGGGACAAGCCCGCATGGAAAGCAGGCGTTCTCACGAATGTGGAGAAGCAGGACACATCAAGCGGGAGTGCCCCAAGCTGCCTACATGCGACAACTGCAGTAAGAGGGGACACAAGAAAGAAGACTGCTACAGCAAGTGGAGGACAGACGAGACGGCCAGCAGGGGTGAGCTAGAGGCAGAAATCAGGAAGCTGCAACTGAAACTGGAGGCGAAGCCCAAGCCAGAGCAGAGAGGACGAGCGATGCTGGCCTATGAGGAGATTGAGGAGGAAGGGGAACAGGAAGGGGGGTATTCGCGAGAGGGAGCATTCATGGCCTTCCCGAGAGAAAGAGACAACATCGACCATCGGCCGAGAGCAACACCCACACAGGAGAGTGTCTTGACGAGGGAGCAGGTGCGAAGGAACACGATACACGAAGGAACGAGCAACCTGGAGATGAGGAGGCACCTGAACGAGAGGCTAGTGTCCCAAGCATCCATGCTGATTGCAGAAAAGGGAAGCATGACGATAGGAGGGCTGCCTGTGGGGCAAGCCATAGTCGATACGGGAGCTCATCACGTTTTGATCGGAAAGGGGCTAGCGAAGCAGCCGAAGCTAGACCTACCAGGCATATTGGTGGAGCAGGGGATACTACTCATGACGGCCGAAGGAGGAGAGCCAAAGTGGATGCCACGCACCCTGAGACCGATAGAGGTCGTGCTGTGCTCGGGGACAAAGAAAGAATGCTGCATTAAGTTGAATTGTGGAGTGTCGGAGTCCGAGGATTATGACGTGTTAGTGGGCATGGAGCTACTATACCGTGTGGGAGCAACCACATGCACCTGGCAGGAGAAAGTCTTGTACAGGTTGCAGTACTGGGACCCAGAGAGCTCGGTAGGCACACTGCCAGTGAAATTCGTCAGGCAAGAGCCAAGGGAGGCATATGGGGCGAGGCAGGCAGATTTAAAATCCGGATCTCATATTTTATAGCGTATTACCTTTGGTTTGCTTGGAAGACAGGTGATTTGCTGGCGATGCACGAAATGTTATCTGATGAGAAAGAAAAAGTCACGCGAAACTTGCAAAGAGCCAAACCATAAGCGAACCAGGCACAAAGGCTCGGGATGCACCAAAGCCAACACAAACGGTTTGAGTGTCGCACGAAACCAGGAAACCAAGCGACAAGAAGAGTGACGCGGGGTTCGATGTCTTGGACCCTGGTACTTCGTACAATGCTGTATGAAATCAGTCATATAAGTGGGGAGTTGAAAGCAAACAATAAGCAGTTTAGTGACGACCTGAAAGTTGAAAGTACCAGTAGAGTGTGAGTCAGGGCCTCAGATATCAGGAAAAAAACCCTGAAATTCCTGATTTTGGCAGCCGTTTTTCAAGCTACCCTGAAAAGTCAGAGTTGGGATTTTAGTAGGACTGATCTTTCAGCGTTTTTTTATTGGCCACACTGATATTTCAGGTTTTTTTCCCGTTGTACACTGATGCCACTACGTTGTAACGAAACCGACACTGAAAGCGAATCTCACCTGTGACATGTCACCTCGACCGCAATTGCAGGGAATCTCAGATTCCCTGTATGTAGGCACCCCGTGGCGGGACCACCCTTAGAAATGTTGCCTTAGGTTCACGTTGAGAGCTGTTTTTTTGGCGGGGCGCCTCACACCATTGGGCCGTTTCGCTGCAGCATCCAGTGTTGGCGAATCCGAATGTGGCATACATGTGGTGCTGGTGGGCTGCCAAGGTTCCTGCCCCGTACCCATCATGTGCGATGCGTTAGGTTTGGGCTGTGCTGGCAAGCACCGTGCCATCCTCCACGCCGCCCAGCCCATCCACCGTTTCTGCCATCTAGAAGTAGGACTTTAAAATAGAGTCAGTGTTTTTGCAAAAGGTACACTGATGCATCAGACTTTAAAAATTCGCAACACTGACATTTCAGCCTTTTTGTTTTTTGGGACACTGAAAATCAGAGTTAACACGCGGGGGGACCCTGATGGGGTGACGACCCTAAAAGTGAATCTGAGGCCCTGGTGTGACACCATCGATTGGGACATGTGTCACACCAGGGCCTCAGATTCGTAATGCTTACGATAGCATTTAGGGTACATTCCGCTGTAGACACATGTCCCAATCGATGTGTCCCAATCGAGTGTACTCATTCGTAATGCTTGCACTCAGCCCTGAGTGCAAGCATTACGATAGCATTTAGGGTACATTCCGCTGTAGACACATGTCCCAATCGATGTGTCCCAATCGAGTGTACCGCTCCGAACCGAACTAAACCAGAGACGCGAAAATTTCGAAACTAGGGTGCAATTCGGTGTAATACGATGCAGTGCGGTAGAAACGATTGGGACACATTGATTGGGACGTGTGTCCACAGCGGAATGTACCCTCAGTTCAGATTGGTCAACTTTACATAGCAATTATGGTTACTTTACAAGCATGTTTCACTGCATGCAGCCATTCAAAAGGGTGTGTACGACAGTATACAAATGAAAACTAGAATACGTGCTACCATTTTCAGTTCCGTAAGACAAAAAGAACCAGCAATCGTATGTGGCGGACTACAATGCATGTGCTCCGGTGGTCAGCAGGATGCTCACGCCCCCCCACTTCATCATCTCTGCCCATTATTCGCCTGTTGCACCATCACGTTGCTTTGATGTGCCCGTGCCTACTGCTGCTGCTGCTGCTGCAGATACAAGGAGAATGTGAGGGGGCAAACTGCAGGAGGGAAAGAGGGTTGAGGGTGCAGGGACAGAGGCGGGCAGAACGGAGGAGTTTGACATATCTTGCCTTGTCCCCATCCGTCTCGTCTCGTCCGTCCGACTCTGCTCCTTCTCGTGCGTCCTGTCATGGGACGATGGGAGAGGGGCTCATGGGAAGGGAAAGGGGGATGCGGAAAAGGGAAAGGGGTATGGGGTAAGGAAGAGGGGTATGGGGGAAGGGGGTATAGGGGATGGGGCGGATGCTAGGAAGGGGGATGGGGGAAAGGGAAAGGGGGATGCTTGGTAGGGGGATGGGGGAAAGGGAAAGGGGCTGGGTAGGGGGATGGGGGAAAGGGAAAGGGGGATGCTGGGAAGGGGGGTCGGGAAAGGAAACGGGGATACAAGGTGTGTCTTCCCGTCCCCTCTGCTCTCGACGCCTCTTCTCTCGTCCCCTCTCGTCCCGTCCCCTCCTCTCTCATCGCGTCGCCTCCTCTCTCGTCGTGTCCCCTCCTCTCTCGTCACGTCCCCTCCTCTCTCATCACGTCCTCTTCTATCTCGCCACGTCCCCTCCTCTCTCGTTGCGCCCACTCCTCTCTCGCCGCATCCCCTCCTCTCTCGTCGCGTCCCCTTCTCTCTCGTCGCGTCCCCTTCTCTCTTGCCACGTCCCCTCCTCTCTCGTCGCATCCCCCTGTCTCTCGCCGTGTCCCCTCCTCTCTCGGTGTGCCCCCTCCTCTCTCGTCGCGTCCCCTTCTCTCTCGTCGCATCCCCTCCCGTCCCTTCTGGTCTCGGCGCAAATCTTCCCGTCCGCGACGGCGACGGCGACGGCGCTGGCACTCGCCTTGCTGCCTTCCTCTCCGCTTTCGCCGATGCCTCTCCCTCGTCGCTTCCGCCGATGCCGCTCCACTACCGCTTCAGCCGATGCCTCTCCCTCGTCGCTTCCGCCGATGCCGCTTCGCTACCGCTTCAGCCGATGCCTCTCCCTCTCCGCTTACGCCGATGCCTCTCTCTCTCCGCTTCCGCCGATGTCGCTCCGCTATCGCTTCATCTCTCTTTATGCTCGCCTAACCTCCCTTCCATTCCTTAGCCCCTACCTTCCTCCCCATCTCCCATCCCCCCCTTCCAATCCCCTCGCGTCCCTTCCCGTCCGGTCATGTCTTGCCGTAGTCCTCCTTCCGTCTTTTATCGTCCTGTTTTGTGCGCGCGGATATGATATTGCTATGCGCTCAAGGAACCCTATTCTACTATGGTGCCGCTTTCTTCTCGTGTGGTTCGCGCAGCAATTAGCTATAAGATCTACCCTTCGATTGATAGTCCTTACGTGCACATATGTGCATGAAAAAGACTAGGCTTGGACTAAGTAGTGGTTGTGTGTAGGTCACTGTCTTTTCCAGCTGTAATAGAAATGATCCATACTTTCGTATTTTTCTGGTGTGGTAACATGCTTGCTTCTCTGTTTTTTACCTTCATCGCACAAGGAGGTGTGTTTCTTGCGAATACGGTTGGGTAGTCGTGCATCTGCCTTGCCCACCCTGATAGGGCTGCAACCAATCACAGGTGCTCCCAACCAAACCCAACAAAGTTGCGACTGTTTTTAGTGGTTACCCGATTTCGAGCGTATTACACTTGGTTGGACGGAAGAAATATGAGACCCGGGTTTTAACCAAGGAGCTGGACGACTAGAGCTGGGAAAGATATGTAGAGGAATAGGAGCAGAGAACCGAGCGGAGAATGAAAGGGGGAGATCCACCTTCCCTAAAGGAGCGGATAACGAGGGTGTGGGCCTTAGAGAGTGCCCTATGTGTAGCGGAGCTGTACGGGGGAACAGGGACTGGGCTAGCAGCCGTGCTGAAGGCAGGATGCCTAGTGAGAAAGTGGGTGCACGTGGAGAAGGATCCCGTGGTCAGAAGAATGGCCAGACACCATGCAAGGCTGCTGCTAGAAGAATACCTGCAGCAGCTGCTCGCCTCAGCCATCCCTCCAGAAGAGGAAGCGACAGTGGATGACATAAGGGATATCATGGAGGAGCAGCTGGAGAAATGGGGGCATATTGATTTGATAGTGGCGAGATGGGAGTGCCAAGGCTATTTCCGGGCCGGGGAAGGAAGAGGAATGGAAGACGCGAGGGGGGCCTCCTTCAGGGACTTAAGGAGGGTGCTAGAGATGGTCCAAAAGAAGCATGGAGAAGTCCTCTATATTCTGGAAAATATAGATCTGGTAGAAGACCGCAGGGAGCCCGTGAAGCGTGCATTTGCAAAGATTGAAGTGGCCGTGGGAAGAGGTATGGCAGCAGATGCAGCTCAACTGGGGTCCAAAGCACACCGACCCAGTAGATATTGGCAGAATGGAGTGTCAGAGACCAGCCTCAGGCATTCACTGGCGCAGATGCAAAGGCCAGAGCCCAGGCTGGTCAGTGACATACTGGGGCCCAACAGGCTGACTGCGCCCGTGACAAACCCAGACCACCCTTCCCAGTACCAATGTAACGTGCCGGGGAAGCCATGGCAGGCGCTACCCACTGTGGTGTCCTATGAAGAGGCGAGGGGCTTCACCATGGAAGGGGACCAGCCAGGACCAGGAATGGTCTATGACGTGAGGACCAGAAAGTGGGAAGAGCCCGCTGCGTAGGAGAGAGAACTGGCGATGGGGCACTGGTGGGGGGCAACTGCTCATCCACAGGTGACAGAAAAACAGCAAAGGGCAGCGAAGAGAGGGAAAGCAAAGGCACGAAAGGAGAGGGCACCAGAGGATGACTGGCCAATAGGCCAAGGAACGGGGGCAGAGATTACGAGAGCACTGCAAGAAGTGTTGAAGCAGCACCGGAGCACCTTTGCCTACACCCTGCAGGAATTGGGCAAGTGCAACACTCATGAGATACAGATCAAGCTTACCACCGAAGTGCCCATATACCAAAGGAAAAGGAGGATGAGCCCGGAGGACCTGGACATATGCCTGGAGAAATGTGCCGAGTTGCTGGAGGCAGGGCTCATTCAGAGATCAGACAGTGATTATGCGGCGGCGACAATAGTAGCTGCCAGGAAGGATATGACAGGATAGGTGTCCGCACAGAGGATGTGCGGGGATTACAGGGGGCTCAACAAAGTGACCCTAGCAGATCGATACCCCATGCAGTTGGCGGAAGAAATATTTAACAAATTGCAGTGTGCAACAGTGTTTAGCACTGTGGACCTCATGTAGGGCTTTAACCAAATACCGATAAGGCAGGAGGATTGCAAGAAGACAGCGTTTCACGGACCGAATGGCCTATACGATTGGAAGTATATGCCCTTCGGTATGAAAAATGCATCACCCCTATTCCAAAGGACCATGGACGCAGCCCTGAGGAAATTGCCAGCAGCCGCGTGTTACATTAACGATGTGGTGGTGTTTAGCGAGTACAAAGAGCAGCACGTGAAGGACGTGAGCGATACTCTGGAGGAGATAAGGGATGCCGGACTGACTTGCCACCCAAAGAAATGCAGCTTCGGGGATAGTTTGGTCAGATACTTGGGCTTTGAGGTAGAAGGGGGGAAGATGAGCATTTAGCACGCAAAAGTAGAGGTCTTGGACAGGGTGCCTACCCCCAAAGACAGGAGTACACTCAAGGCAGTGCTGGGGTTCTTAAACTACTACCGCAAGTTTGTACCCAGCTTTAGCTGCACAGCAGCTGTACTGAACCGCCTGCTGAGAGAGGAGCAAGCCTGGCAGTGGGGGGAGGCAGAGCAGGGGGCAATGGATGCACTGCTCCAAGCAATCAAGATAGCAACCGTGCTGGTCCTGCCAAGTAAAGAAGACCCATTCGTGCTCTACACGGACTGGAGCAGTGCAGGAATGGGAGGCATACTGTGCCAGGAAAGGGAGGGGCAGGAGATGGTGGTAGCCTTTTCCAGCAGAAGCTGCAATCCAGCAGAGGCAAACTATAATTCCTATGAAGGAGAGGGCCTGGCAGTGGTGTGGGCCATCACACACTTCAGGGTGTACCTGCAGGAAAGGCCCTTCGTGCTAGTGACAAACCATCAACCACTAACCTGCCTAATGACCAATCAGGCGCTGACCGGGAGAAACGCAAGGTGGGCCATGCGCCTCCAAGAGTACGAGTTCAGCATCAGGCACAGGCCCGGAAAGACACTGCAACACGTGGACGGGCCATCCAAAAACCCTCCACCCACCAGTCCGACGGCGTGCCTGGTGGCACTAGCACGAGAAATTGATGGAGTAAGGGCCAAGAAGCAGCAACAGAAAGGGGCAGAGGACGTCTGGGAAGGCACAGAGGTGCTGCGGTGGATACAAGGCAAAACCACCGAGACAGAGAGCCAGAGCAATGGGAGCGCACTGCAGGTGGTATCAAGAGCAGCTAAAGAAAAATACGAAGGAAGGGTGGAAGTTGGTGCCAGCAAGGGAGGAAAGAGAAGAGATTATAGAGAAAGTGCACAGGCGGCTAGGGTACTACGGGAGCCTGAGGACATGCCAGCTGATAGAGACGGGGTGATGGTGGGCTGGCATGAGGAGGGAAATCAAGGAGTGGGTGGAGGCGTGTGAGTTGTGTAGCAGGAAGAAAGCCAAACTGGAAAAGGGAAGAGAGGAGTTGCAATCTCTGCCGATCAGGGGAATAGGGTTCAGGTGGTCCCTATACTTAATGGGGGAAATGCCCTTGAGCCGCCGAGGAAAGGGATACATCCTTATCATGATTGAGCATGGGAGCAAGTGGGTAGAGGTAAGGACGCTCTTAAGCAAGAACTCAACAAGAATAGCAAAGGCTTTCAAGGAGCACGTACTGACGAGGTTTGGGGCGTGTGGGGAGGTGCTGACCAACCAAAGCACAGAGTTTCTAGGAAATTTTGAGAAGCTACTGAAGGAGAGTGGAATCACGCACAAGAGGACCTCTCGCTACCACCCCCAAAGCGACGGGCTGACTGAGAGGTTCGTTCAAACAGTAAAAAGGGGTCTGAGAGCGTATGGAGAGAAATTCAAGAGAGACTGGGATGCGAGGCTGCCATGGGTAGTAGCAGGCTACAGATTCAGCAAGCAAGCCGCCATGAAAGACCTCTCCCTATATTACCTGCTGCTTGGACGGGAACCCGTACTGCCCGTGGATGCACCCAAACTGCTAACTGGAGTAGTGACGGTAGGATCAGAGGAGAACTGGGTGGGGCTGGCGGAGGGGAGAGCAAGGTAGCTGCGGAAGCTGCTGCCAGCAGCTTTGGAGAATCTCCATGTGGCACAGCTCAGAGACGCCCAGAGGTACAGAAAGAGGACGGAAGGAGGATCCAAGAAGGAGGAGAAGGACATAGGTGTGGGGGAGGAGGTGTATTTGAAGCAGGCAAAGCAAGACATGATGGACATAGGGCTGAACGTCGAGAGGTGGAAGGTGAAGGAGGTGAAAGAATCAGTATTGGTGGTGCTGGTGAGTGAGCGGGGGCAGGAGAAGAAAGACCACAGGACCAACGTGGCCAGGGCCAGGCCGAGGAGAGGACGGAAAGATACAAGGCGTCAAGAAGAAGAAAGGGAGAGGAGGCAGCCTTGGAAGGAAGAAGTCCATCGGCAGGAGAAGCCAGGAGAAGCGCCGAGGAGGGGGCAAATGGACCAATGAACAGAGAATGAACAGAGAGCTGAGGACTCTGAGGGGGTGAGGAAGGAAAGCTGAGCAAGGCAGAAAAGGGGTCTTGCTACAAGAGGAGAAGCAAGAGAATAGCTCTTCGGACAGCTGTCACAATTTTTATTGTAGAAATATGAACAATATAAAAACCAGACAAGTGGTTAGTATAGAAATCAGCTACACCGAAGTAAGGGGGAACTGCAAAAGTAGTGAACGGGACAATTTGGAGCCGAGGCGAAGGAAAAGCACCATTGCCAGCAACGGTTACCAGCATGAGAATACTTAGGCAAAGGTCATCGTAGGAATGACTTGCTTGCTTGTTTGTTTCTACACTGAGCATGAATTCAGCCTGGTGAAATCCTAGAGCCAAGTTCACAGAGGAGCCAACCTTCGAAAGCAATAGAGGCACCGTGCAAGAGATGCTAGAGTCTGCCAAGCTAGCTCTCCCTGCACTCAGAGCAGGAACACAAGCAGCAACTTATACTGTGGGT